ATGAACAACTGATTCCATATTTTTCCTAGATAAAACTGCTCTTAATTTGGACAGACGGCGGAGTTGGAAAAAACAGGATTTTACAGTGGCATTGACCTGGGCGTCCATCCTAAGAGATGAATCCATCTTTACACCCAGGTTAGTCACAATGGTTTTTAGATTTTGAGAAACAGAAGAAAGATCTGGGGTTTGGAATGGGCTAGATCTGACCGGATTAAAAAGGATAAGTTCAGTCTTGGAATCGTTGAGATGCAGGAAATTTGAGGCCAGCCAACATTTCACGTCTCGTAGGCAATCTAGAAGAGGCTGGATTGATTGCTGGGGTTTCACCGACATGTAAATCTGGCAGTCATCAGCATATAAATGATATTGAACAGAATGTTTTTTTTAGGATTAAGCTGAATGAAAGGAGGTAAAGGCAAAACAACAAAGGGCCCAGAATAGACCCCTGTGGGACCCCACACGAGAGAAGAGCAGAGCGAGATGAGATGTTGTTTAGCACCACCCGTTGGGACCTGTTAGACAAATAGGACTTAAACCAAGTTGGGGCTGGACCACGTATTGAAGCAACCTCCTCTGAACTTAATAAAAGGATGTGGTGGTCGACGGTGTCAAAGGCGGCGGACAGATCGAGAAGTAATAACACATCAAAAGCGCCAGAATCAGTAGCCATAAAAATGCCATTAAAAACACGGAGGAGAGTGGACTCAGTGCTGTGCAGGGGTCGAAAACCCGACTGAAAGATATCCATTATGTTATGATCAGCTGGTCATCCTTTACTCATTCTGCAAAGCATACCTTGGACAAAATGACAATTCTTCTCATCTTAGGTTATGATGACATCATTTATAGGACTGCTTCCAAAAAAATTCTTCATTAACCTGATGCCATTTATCACTCAACCATCCATTTTGTCACTGGTGCCCCTTTCACTACTGATCATTGTGATCTGTACTCACTTGTTAACTGGCCATCACTCCAGTGCCGCAGGTTGTTACATCGATATCATTGGTCCTAATTATCGGTAGAGCCCCATCATATGCTCATTACTCATCTCTTCCAACCAGCGCAATTTACACTCCAGTAACTTAATCTCTATAGTTACTCCCAAAGCTCGCACCTCCATTAGCAGCTCCTCATTCCAGTTTGCTGCTTCTAACGACTGGAATGATCTTCAAAAATCACAGAAGCTCACTAACTAACTAATGGGTTGTGGGGTGTAACTGTCACAATTTTTTCATATTTGTGAGGAAGGGATGGGAATATGGGTTATATGGGGTCATTTTAATCTTTTAAGCACTTTGAGCTGCATTTCTTTTGTATGAAAAGTGCTGTACAAATAAAGTTTGATTGATTGATTGAACTCCGTCAGTGAGCCCCAGGGCAGCTGTGGCTACATCGTAGCTCATCCCCACCAGTGTATGAATGTGTGTGTGTGTGTGAATGGATGAATTATACACTGTAGTGTAAAGCGCTTTGGAGTCCTTACTCTGAGAGGCGCTATACAAGTGCGGGTCATTTATCATTTATCATTAACAGTGTTGGGCAAGTTACTTCAAAACTGTAATGCATTATTTATTACTTGTTACCCTCATTTTAATGTAATTGATTACATTACAATATTACTGATTTTAAAATGTAAGGCATTACACTACTTTTGCATTACTTTCAGTTATTTTCACCAAAACAATTTCAATAGGAATTAGGTCATGTGATGCTCAGCGAACTCATGACACATCCAGAGGAAGGCGATGTGGTGTCTGAGCTAGGGTTGCTGTTAAAAACAGTCAGATAAAATAACAGTTCTTTATTAAATACATGAAACAAAAAACTGTACTCTCAGCACGCTGCCATCTTAGATTAATTGAGCAGGATGTGAGGTGGTGGGGGCTCCAAGCCTATATTTGCCTTGGTCCCCAAATGCCTTGATACGGCCCTGGATGTGGGACTGACTTCTGGGGTGATCTGATTCTATCACATGTATAAATATTAAATGCTTATATATTATTGCTTTTCACTGGTAAACATGTGTGTTGGGGATAAATCTACCTACTTTTTTTCTTTTCAAGCACTTTGTTTTGTTTTCTTGATTGTATTTGAATAATTTCCGGCCCTTTCTCTCTCTAACCTTCCTGCATGCTGCATGTTTTCTCCGTCTTCCAGAAAAACTGTTTCCTAGATTCCCTACTTTCTAACTAATCAGCCAAAGGGTTCTACCGAACGCAAAAAAAATAAAAAAAAAGCTTAATATGCGCTGCGCTCCAGCAGCAATGAGTTGAAATCACCGGGCGAGGGCACAGATAATGAACTCAGCTGAGGCAAAGCACGTCAGAAAAGTACAGAAAGTACCAGAGAATATGAGCTGATATGAACGATCGCAAGTTAATTATTTTGTTTTGGTGGAGCGATTTTATGAATATAACAGCAGCCGCACACAGGACGCAGTTGGAGTATTTTAGCCGTTACCGCTTAGTCCTCTCTGCTCATAGAATGCCCGCAAAGCGGAGTCCATAAATTACGTAATATATGTAGATACCGGATCTTTATTTTGGGCATTCCGCAATTTGAATTTTTAAGAAACCCACATCTTGATTCTGGGTTTAAAAATGCATTGTAATTACCGCGTTACTGACAATTGTACCGAGTAAATATTACCATTTTCTTTCTCTGTAATGCCTTACATTACCACATTACAGCAAAAAGCAATGCATTACAGTAATTAATTACTTTTGTACCGCATTACTCCCAACACTGATCATTAACTACATTCCATAATCTACCTTCAATAATTCATTGCAATCAATAGTTTCTGATCAATGTGCCTGCTTCTGAGTCCTTAAAGACTGTTTAAGTCTGATCTGATTGCTTGTAGATATGGTGAATGATAACAGTTCTTTGTCTTTACATCTAACAGTTTTATCTCATTTTTATCTTGTATGATTTTATCTTACCTGTTTTTCTTTGATGTAAAGCTAAATATGTGACTGTTGCTGCTGCCTCTTGGCCAGATCATCGTGTAAATGAGAATGAGTTCTCAATCTACTCACCTGGATAAATAACGGTTAAATAAATAAAAGTAAGCAACAGGGATATCAGGTAGTTAGTGGAGAAAGAGAAGATTAAGCATCATGTCATATTAAGGGATTGGTATCGCTTCCACATCATCACAAATCATGACGGATGTTGGTGCCAAAGTGGGAGAAACTTCTCTTCCATTGTTAAGTGAGGACATGTTGATACTCCTGGTCTATTAGTGATTCAATAGACCACGGAATGACTTCAGTTGTGAGTAGTGACATCCTACATCAGCATTACTCAACAGGCGGCCCTCGACCCAGCCTATTTTTTACAGACAGCTGGTCCGCCAATCAACAGCTTTTAGTCAGAATTAATCATATAATCAAGGAATTCACTTGTAAAAATCAGCAGTAAGAATTAATTATGCACATAACACACAAAAATATCAATGAAACATTTGCAACGGTTTCTGGGCAACATCAGTTGAACCCTTTAGTTGGACACCGTGTTCCAGCTACTTATGTTGAGATTTGCTGCACAGCACAGCTTCACTTGATTTGTTTGAAAATTCCCAGAGAAATGAAATGAGAGTGAAAAGCAGAAAATCCAATCTTCTGTAAATGTAATTGTTGAATCACTGGTAGTCGATAACACCCTCAAATGCCTGCAGATTGTTGGCTACTTTAACACTCAGAGCCAAGGTCAAATTGGACAACACACAAAAAATGTCAAAACAATTCACAAGTGTTGCTCGTTTTCCTACCAGTCTTTTTCTGATTTGAAACCTTTCCAGTTAACAGATGTTTCTGGTTTCACACAGGATTGTTCTGCTGCAATTCTCAAACCTGTCACCTCCACCTCAGCTCCTAGGCAAATTAATGCAAATGACTCTTCAGAGGACGAGCCACAGCAGTGTCCATCACGCCTCAACACACACTCTGGAATGTGGTTAGAGTGCACAATGCACCGAATAAATACACACACACACTCGACTCTGACAAGTGTCTATACGTAAAAATGAGTTCAATAAAGAATTATGCCCATGCCTACTTACAAAGACACAGTTTATATGTCTCTCTACAATGTGCGCACGCACACACACACACACACACACACACACACACACACGAACAGAGATATGTTGTTTCCTGTTCTGCCTTCCTAGACAAAAGAAAATGAGGAAACAGCTGCATCACACCTCCAAATGGGCTTTGAGCTCTCACAGGACTTTCATTGAGGGGGGGGGGGGAACTCACTGCTGTCTTGTGGTTGTCAGCAACACTAATCTGTCCTCACACACACACACACACACACACACACACACACACACACACACACACACACACATACACACACACTCCCAAATTGATAGATGTTATGTTTTTCTCTATTGACATAATCAGACATACATTTCACACACACTGATGCTGTCAATCCTTCTCCTTTTATCCTGCATGAGCCCACCAATGCAACACATGCTGCCTCTGCATTTCAGCTGCACAGTCTCGACAGGTACACCTGCATCTCTGAGACCATTTGCAATGCAACCGTTTATTGCTCTGTTGCTTAACTGATGAATTATCACACAGGAACTTAAAGTACTGCATACCACACACAAACATGAAAACACATGGGTACAAAACTGTGCATTTACACTAATTTAATCCCTAACATGTTTTCACAAGCACAACAAAGCTTTCACAGATTAACCTTCCGTGAAAAGACTTATTCAATCTCTAATCTAAACCAGAGCGTCGCAACACTGTTAGTTCAAAATGCACAAATACACAATTTATCTAGCCATATACAGTAGAACATCTGCACATAAATATCTGCCACCCCTCAGAGTCTAGGTTCAAGTATGCTGCACAAGTTGTCCATGAGGGAGGTTCTCATTTCTCAGGTAGGCAACCCCGAGGTTCTCCCACTGAATGCTGTACTGCACAGCTGAGGAGCATATCTCAGAGCTTGTCTTCACTTACCAGAAGGCACAAAATGAAGAACTTTGTTGGTCTCCATAGCTGAACAAGTGGTGGTGAATGCACACTTCCAGTCCCAACCCCCCTCCCCCCTCCCCTGAATCAACCCATCATGGTTATGTTATCCTGTGCTGCTGAGTGAGAGATCACCTCTGCTCTTCCTTCCAATGCTCTGTTTTTGACTGCCTCTCAGACACATGCAGTGACTCAGCCCCGCTCTGCCTGCTTGCTCTCCTCCTTGGCTCTATCTAGGTCCTAGTGCCTTCCTTTTCTTAATCAGCATCTTTATTTCAGCCCATAGAACAGCGTTCTGTCACTGTAAACACACACATGCACACACGAACACAAACACACACACATACATGCATGCAATCACACACACACACACACACACACACACACACACACACACACACACACACACACACACACACACACACACACACACACACACACACACACACACACACACACACACTCGCTTAAGTTATAATCGGGGTTTCAAGTATTAACTACCCCCCTTAGAGGACACTGCTTTCTGTATGGTTTAGAGACAAGCTAGTAAGTGAAATTTTCTATTTTAAATTTTTAAAAGACAAAAATCACTTGATATTCTCATTTTACTGAATTTTTCTCTAAACAGTTTTTTAACCTTTAAATTGGGGACAGGTTTTTTTAAGTCCTCTTTGAGGACTCCTACAATACACAGATCATTTAAAGTCATATTTCGGTACATTACTATCTTCTGGGGACAATCCATTGTAAAGAACTGTTATGGAAATGTTATATTTATAATCTCTTGATCATTGATCCAATCAACTGAATGTAATATGTATTACTCTGTGCTTTGAGAAAAATGAAAATGACCAACCTTCAAAAGTGCTAATTCAAAGTTACTGACCTTGGTAGAGGAGGAGCTGAGCAAGTAGAGGAGGAGCTGAGCATGCGTTGACGCAAGGACGTAATTTTCACTTAAGAAGTGGGGGGGACACGGGGGGGTATCTTTACAGTATGTTCTAATGGGAAACAGGCTTCAACACAAACTGTTGTTTTCCGCTTGGTACTAGAGCTCAACCAGTGTCAATTTAATATAGCGTAATGTTGTTGTTGGATGGTAAAAAGTGCAGGGGTCAAAACTTGACTTTGGAAAAAGTGGGGGGGACATGTCCCCCTGTCCCCCCCCCCCAATATTACTTCCATGCGTTGACGGCCGATCACCGGATACATGGCAGCGTTTGAAGCTGATGGCAGCTCGTTAGCAAACATCCACAAACAATTAAGATGCTTTTTTGCCTAATTTATCTACTGACAACGCAAAAAAATAATCTGGTAAGTATAACTCACTACATCTGCAGGTAAGTGAAGAAAATTTAGAAAGTTTACTAAATTATATTGACAAAGTTTTTGAGTTATTCGTTATGGGTCCAAAGAAATCAGCAGCTGAGGCTGAAACACCTGGGACCAAGAGGAGCCGTCCTCATGACTCGCCTGAGGCCTCATCTCCCTGGAAGGACATATTGGAATTATTAGATTCTATAGATAAACGGCTTCTGGGATTTGAGGGGCATCTTCATCTGCTTGAGGTTCTACACCAGGAGTTTCAGAACCTCCGTCGGTCTCTGGAGTTCAGCCAGGAGCAGGTGGAGCAGCTGGCCGCTGAGAACGTGTCTCTGCGGGAGTCCGTTTCTTCCCTGGAAGAGGGAATGACGTGGATCACCCTGGACAACAAGATTCTGAAGGAGACTGTTTTGGACCTTCAGGCCCATAGCATGACGGATAATTTGGTGTTCGCAGGCCTGCCGGAGCAGGCGAGAGGGGCGGAGAACTGCGAGCAAACGATAAAAAACTTTATCCAGACCCAAATGAAGATACCCGAAGAAACTGTAAAAAACATCACCTTTCACCGGGTACATCGCCTTGGAGCTAAAAGAGGGGACAGCAGAAGACCTCGTCCCATCGTGGCTAAATTTGAACATTTTAAGCAGAAGGATCTTGTTAAACGTCACGGAAGAGAGCTCAAAGGAAAAGACTTCAGCGTAAATGACCAGTTCCATAAGGAAATTCTGGATCGGCGCTGAGTCCTCTTTCCGCTGCACAAAAAGTTTATCCAGGCTGGGAAGAGAGCTGTCATCTCGGTGGATAAGCTTTATGCGGACAATAAGCTTTAAAAGGAGCGAGAAGTGACAGACTGGCTGTATTAGCCCAACATCAGGTCAGACATTTATTATTCTTATCAGGATTCACTGGGTTTGAGCCATCGACATATATACTGGACAATTCCTTTCCATAGGCTCCAATAACAAGTTTTTGTGCAAAAATGGGAGGTGGCCACCACCGCCATTTTGACCGTGTCACAGGTTCCGTCCAGCCCAGACAATTCCATAAAAGGGATGAGAGGAGGACCTGAGGGTTGGGCTGTAAGGCTGGGATCAACTGATGACACCCGGTCGAACTAGCTACAAGCTAACCCGAAGCTAACCCAAAGCTAACGCAGAGGTGGGAGCCGAGCTAACGGATGTAGCCACCTAGCTACAACCGGAGCTAACTCTGTGGAACACCCATCGACCGCATGGAGTTCAGGTGGAGGTTTGCGGCGCTTTTTCATGAGACGTACCTTTCTGTGATTAAAAAATATTAAATCAGTAAGTTTTCAGTTATTTCCGTAATGAAAATATATTTTGCTTTGAGCAAGTTTTCACTATTTATCACGTACCGTATTTTCAGGACTATTAAGTCGCTCCTGAGTCGCACCAGCCATTAAATGGGGGGCTTGGGAAGAAATTATGACACGTCTCTAAAGTAAAATTTTCCAGTGCAGATTTGAGACAACCCATAGAAGCACTGATTTGATCTCATTTCAGAGAAAAATAGAACAGGTCAGATGCACCTAATAAATAAAATTACTAACAAACTCGGGAATCTTTCTTTGCTTCACTGCTCTGGTGCTGAGAATATCACTTATGCAGATCAAAGGAGATCCACAGATGAATGCACCTCTTATTTATTATTTGGAAACTACATTTACTGCAGCCGGCAGAGGCAGAGATTTTTTCTATTGATACACGGAATTTACAGAATCATTTTAAATGTTAATAGGGGAAGACTGCAGGAGGGAGCGGTAAAATACAGGGGGTCCCCAGCAAAAACAAGAAACTTTATGAGTCTGATGAAACCCGCTGGTTTTCCATCAGGCAGTCATGGGGCAGCTCCAACGACCCAGTGGCTGTGCTGGGTCAATGTTATCGAGCTCAGTCTGGCTCGGCCGTGAACGAGCCGAGGCGACGTCGTGCTCTGCTTAAGAAGAAGCGTTATTTTCCCGCTTCAGAAGAAGCGTCCAACGTGTTTTTACGCTTTCTCCGAGACATGTCACGTCGCTAAGTTGTTAGCGCCGTGCGCTAACACGTCAATAGTGCAGCGTAGCGTGCTGGAGGTTTTAAGGGTTCAGATGAAAACACCCGACCTCTCAGGCTGCTCACGCATCGATCTTAAGTTGTCGCTGTTGCGCTCACGCCGTAATACAGTATTAGATGTGGTTAAAATCAGACATGATGAATAAATAAATAAATTTTACATGAATAAGTGATGCTTACCCTGGTGGGGGGAGGAAAACATGGCCTAATAAGCACTGGAGGAAACCCTGTCAAGATCGTCAACACTCGTTTATCTTAATGCTATTGAAACATGTGAAACAAAAAGCGTTATATCCACTGCTACCTTTCTAATTTTAAACTCAGTAACTTATGCTGTAACCACCTTGCCCTGCCTGCTCCTTGCTGCCTGCCGGCCGAGATCACAAGCGACAACATAGTAGTTCCCGCTGCTTCTTCGGGAAACAGCGCAAAAAAAACCCCCCAAAAAAACTTGGGATCTTGTAGGCGTGGGATTTCAGCCATGGCGGGCCGCCACGGCTACGCCTATGTAAGGGAAACCCTGATCTTGTACAGCCAAGTAGACTTTATTCTGGACTCAGTACAATTCACCAAAAGTAAAGAGACATACAGATGAAGTAAGCACAAGATAACTTACTGGAAGAAACAAAATTATTATCATGAGAACCAGAACAAGACAGCCTGATAAGTCACGTGAAAATAACAGTTAAAAAGTATGTATGTGTAATAGAAATAAAAATATATTAGAATTAGTGTAACTCACTGTGATCCAAACAATAAATCAGCCATAGCTGACTAGCAATCATGAAATGAGGTCTGGGAGATTTTAAGTTTCATTCTTTTATTACATTTTTATCTTAGATGTGTTAAAAGGTCACCATGGCAGCCTGTGTGTCTCCAACATCAGCTACACAACACAGCGAGTGTAAGTTCCAAATACCTGTCTTGACCACTTCATGTATGATTTTGTACTTTAAACAGCAAAGCCAAACCTGTTATTTTTTTCTCCATAGCCATTTGGATCATCGGTGACAGCTGAGTGAGGCGTGGTGCCCAGAGAGCTGCAGAGACCCTCAGACAACCTTGGCCTCCCTGAAGTCCGTGTCTCCTGGTTCGGTTGGGGTGGACTGAGGGGGAAAGACCTTCTCTTTCAACTCCATGCATGGAAGAGCAGCTCTTGATCTGCAGTGTGAATCTGGTGAACATGAAGGACCTGCACCGGCTTCACCTTCTACACCCTCATATCACACTGTTGAGAACTGTTCTTCCTTCACAACCCAATGTTCCACTCACTCTGCAGCTCTCTGGGCCCCTTTTATTATTTTAAGTATTTTTTAAATGTCCCGACACTTTGTGTCCTGTTATTTTATAAAATGTGACGTAAAAAAACAAATGTTTTTGCTCAATTACTGGAATTTCTTTGGTTAAGACAAAAAAGGAAGAATCATTTATGTCAAGTTGTTTCTACAACAGGCCTGTTTTAAGTCCAACAGTTTCTTAGCAGCCAATAGAAATGTGTTTTTTATGGAAGCCCATTCCCGCCACTCAGATAAAATAAAAAAAAATTATTATCTCATAATTATGACTTAGCTATCTCATTATTATGAGATACTATCTCATTATTATGACTTAGTATCTCATAATTTTGACTTAGTATCTCATAATTTTGACTTAGCTATCTCATTATTATGAGATAGTATCTCATTATTATGACTTAGTATCTCATAATTATGACTTAGTATCTCATTATTATGACTTAGTATCTCATTATTATGACTTAGTATCTCATAATTATGACTTAGCTATCTCATAATTATGACTTAGCTATCTCATTATTATGACTTAGCTATCTCATTATTATGACTTAGTATCTCATAATTATGAGATAGTATCTCATAATAATGAGATAAATTCTGCTGGCCTCCACGGACTTCCGTTTTTGCACTTCCGTATTTTTCAAACTGCAGCAGCAGCGCAGCACACAACTTCATTCGCGCTGAGTGGTCAGAATGGCTATTTGTACGCGTTTGCTGCTAGACCTCCCAAGAATAATGGTTAACGATGTACACCGAATCTTTCTTGCCTCGTCCGAAATGCCAAAATCTAGTATGGACAAAGCTTGTATTGTATGCGCCCGGCTACATACACAGCTATGAAGGTAAGCTAACAAACTTCTGCTGTGAGTTACTAAAGATGCTACACGCTAGCTCTCCACTAGCCTAAGTTAACACAATAAGGAAACGTTATTGGAGCGATAAGTAAGGTCATGCGTGTTTTTCATGTCTGAAATAAAAAAAAACAGTTTTTATGTTATTGTCAGTTTTAATCATGCAGTCAGGAGAGGTCACGGTTAGGTCCGAGTGTTTCAGGTCAATGAGGAAAAACCAGAAGCCCCACCGTCTGAGTGTAGGGAAACGTTACCCTGCAGGTTCAGTGCAGGATTGATTCAGGTTCAAAAGAAGACTGTTCATGTTTTTAAACGTCACATTTTTGCGAGTCATATCATTGCTTTTAGTTTGATAACAGGTTAATGACATGCCTGAACTACGTGTGTCATGTGGTATCAGAGATAAAATGTGTCCCAGAAAGAATATAGTAAGTAAAGTTTGTATAAATAGCATGTCACAGAAAGTCAAACATTAGATGACTCGCAGAAGCACAACATTGTTTACAGTTATTTTATTTTTGTCCACTACTTGTTCTACTCTTCTATTTTAAAATGAGTTAAGTGAAGTTAATCATCAATGTTTGTCTCTCCTTAAATGCAGTTGTACTCTAACAAATATTCTGTGTTGTAACAGATTGTGCTAAGGGATTCAAAGCCGGTGGGGGTGCCAGTGTATGTGTGGCAGGTGCAGCCTTGTGATGTCATGTGGCAGCTCAACTCTACCAGACGGCACATTTCTCCTAGCTGAAACTTACATCGGTCCCCCCCCCCCCCCCACACACACACACACACAGTGTTCAGCTGCACAGAAACTGAACAACAGTGGCACAAAACGGGGACCAAGGTTACAATCTTTTAATGATACTATTATTATGTGTATACATATTTCTGTTATAACATTTAAACTTGTTTTTATTTGGAAACAAGGTATTAAACCAGGTCCAGTTAATGACATGGTCATCATATCAGCCAGACCAAGAGAGAGGAGACCGGTAGAATGAACAAGGTATGTTTTTCTTTCTGGACTGCACGCACACACACACACACACACACACACATGCACACACCCCATTTGACTTTTGTTTTTCTTCCCAAGAAGCAGTTTGTAAAAAGGAGTCAGCTTCCCCGATGACAGCTTCATTCTGAAGGTGCAGGAGGCGTACCACAGACTTGGTGCAGATGAGGCTCCGGTGATGACAGCCATGGCTGTCTCTGGTGATGTACCTCTGGTTGGGTCCACGTTTGGTTCGGTGCAGGAGGGAAGCGGGCCATCTTACCAACTACCAGTGAGGACGGCCCCCAGGACGCGTCCACACAAAGACAACCCTTCTCTCCCACAACTGTCTCTCTCTCATTATAGACTGGGACCCTCTGCATGTGCATTTGTGTTTACTGAACATCATCATTTCACATCCCTCACAACATCATTAGGGAAATCATACAAAGCTGAGAACAGAACACAATCGCAGAGTTTCTGTGTGGAGGGGCACCAACTAAGGAGATGCCACATCACTTCTACAAAATTTAGATAAGTGTGTCACACCAGGGCAGAAGGTTCTGCTGAGAACCTTGTGAAACAGCCTATGTGAACAAGTAGTCAGACTGATGACAAATGTTGGGGTCTTGCTTTGGAGCCTACAGCCATCAAGGAGTACTGCAAGGTAATAGAGGTAAACCACTACCCTTGTGGGGTCCTGATCCACCTTGAGGCACCATGGATGGGTTCAACACCAGATGGGATTATGTATGATCCTGAGGGCAGCCTGAGTGTGGCCTGCTGGAAATAAAATGCCTAAATGTGTGTAGCTTTGTGGATTATTATGCTCAGAAAAGGTTTACTCTCTGTGGCGATCTCATCCTCATTACTGGCAGGTCGGTGTTGACTGTTGATTTCTCCATGTGAGTGGTGTGACTTTGTTGTTTACACCACAGATGACACGTTTATTCAGCGAGTTCCCCGTGACATGGAAGTCATACAGACACTATTGTAATGTTTTCATTGCTGTTTAAATGTAAAGACTTACTGTGGGGGAAATTCAATGTAAATCTGCAGTAAAATTAAATAGTTCTGCACTTTCTTGTTTGTGATGTTTTGTTTGCTAGCTGAGTAATCATTTTTAAATGGCTTCAGTTTAGTTTCAAAAGATAAGGTTTAAATTAAACGAATTAAAGAAGACTAAACAAAAACCGATGACTTATTTACCACAAAAGTGTTTGAAACCATAAACTTTCAATTTCTTTTTTTATTACAAAACCAGTTTAAACATACAAATACACATTTAAGCATGACATAGTTTTTTTTTAATTTTAAGAACTCTATCAATTGAGAAATTAATCATAACTTACTTTATTGCTGAGGTTTTGTAAAGGTACCGCATCTCAAGCCCTCAGAAGGGCACAGCACCGTTGAAGATCATCTGAGTGAAAGCTTTAAATGCAGTACCTTTATGGAAGTGTGTAAATATGCAGTGTGGTTGCCCTACATGACTTGAGGTGCTCAGACATCAGGCTCCTTTGTGGGAGTGACTTGTAGGAGGAAAACACCTCACTCTGGAGGAGAGGGGAAGATGGACATTGACACATCAGCTCAGTGCAGTCAAGAATGACTGTGGTGTCTGGGTGGTCCTAAAAGTCTGCAGGCAGATTTGGCCTTATCTCCTCCTCTGGTATCCAGATCCTCACAGAGCCAAGTTCTTGATTTTCATCAGACCGACTACAGTTGTGTTTCAGAAAATCTGTCTCTGCAACTAGCAATAACCCACATACATACTTCTCTGCTCCCCATCAGAGGGAATGAAAAAAATACAGAATTGTACCTTGCTGATGCCTCTGTGTGTGTGTGTGTGTGTGTGTGTGTGTGTGTGTGTGTGTGTGTGTGTGTGTGTGTGTGTGTGTGTGTGAGCAAACTCGCATGGTACACCCTGGACAGGTTGCCATTATTTACATTAAATAACATATATATGTTAATTTAATAAAAAACAGTATATGTTATTTAATAACATATACTGTATTTTATTACTGTGGAAACATTTTAGGCAGGTGTGGAAAATGCTGAAAATAATGCTTTCAAAAATGGAAGTGATAATCATTCATTTTCATCAGTCAGCAAAAATCAGTCAATGAACCTACTAGAAATGTAAATCTATATTCAGTGTGATCACCCATTGACTCAAAAACAACATCAATTCTTCTAGGTACACTTGAATGCAGGTGTTGGAAGAACTGGGTTGGTATGTTGTTCCAGACATCTTGGAGAACAGCAGAGAGGGGAAACCTGATAAAAAGAAAATGGCAATTCTGACACCCCCGTAGTAAGTGGACAGCAGAAAAATCAGAAACTTCTTTTAACAGTTTGGATTACAATTATATATTTTACCACATTATTAGGTCTACACATCCACAGTGAGTTAAATTATAGTGTCATAAAACCATTTTACTTTATGATGCGAACAATCGCCAGAATGGCAGCTGTCAAACTGACGGCTGGTGGGAGAAAAAAAGCACAAAGTGAAGAAACCTTTACAAAACCTCAGCAATAAAGTAAGTTATGATTAATTTCTCAATTGATAGAGTTCTTAAAATTAAAAAAAAAACTATGTCATGCTTAAATGTGTATTTGTATGTTTAAACTGGTTTTGTAATAAAAAAAGAAATTGAAAGTTTATGGTTTCAAACACTTTTGTGGTAAATAAGTCATCGGTTTTTGTTTAGTCTTCTTTAATTCGTTTAATTTAAACCTTATCTTTTGAAACTAAACTGAAGCCATTTAAAAATGATTACTCAGCTAGCAAACAAAACATCACAAACAAGAAAGTGCAGAACTATTTAATTTTACTGCAGATTTACATTGAATTTCCCCCACAGTAAGTCTTTACATTTAAACAGCAATGAAAACATTACAATAGTGTCTGTATGACTTCCATGTCACGGGGAACTCGCTGAATAAACGTGTCATCTGTGGTGTAAACAACAAAGTCACACCACTCACATGGAGAAATCAACAGTCAACACCGACCTGCCAGTAATGAGGATGAGATCGCCACAGAGAGTAAACCTTTTCTGAGCATAATAATCCACAAAGCTACACACATTTAGGCATTTTATTTCCAGCAGGCCACACTCAGGCTGCCCTCAGGATCATACATAATCCCATCTGGTGTTGAACCCATCCATGGTGCCTCAAGGTGGATCAGGACCCCACAAGGGTAGTGGTTTACCTCTATTACCTTGCAGTACTCCTTGATGGCTGTAGGCTCCAAAGCAAGACCCCAACATTTGTCATCAGTCTGACTACTTGTTCACATAGGCTGTTTCACAAGGTTCTCAGCAGAACCTTCTGCCCTGGTGTGACACACTTATCTAAATTTTGTAGAAGTGATGTGGCATCTCCTTAGTTGGTGCCCCTCCACACAGAAACTCTGCGATTGTGTTCTGTTCTCAGCTTTGTATGATTTCCCCAATGATGTTGTGAGGGATGTGAAATGATGATGTTCAGTAAACACAAATGCACATGCAGAGGGTCCCAGTCTATAATGAGAGAGAGACAGTTGTGGGAGAGAAGGGTTGTATTTGTGTGGACGCGTCCTGGGGGCCGTCCTCACTGGTAGTTGGTAAGATGGCCCGCTTCCCTCCTGCACCGAACCAAACGTGGACCCAACCAGAGGTACATCACCAGAGCCAGCCATGGTTGTCATCACCGGAGCCTCATCTGCACCAAGTCTGTGGTACGCCTCCTGCACCTTCAGAATGAAGCTGTCATCGGGGAAGCTGACTCCTTTTTACAAACTGCTTCTTGGGAAGAAAAACAAAAGTCAAATGGGGTGTGTGCATGTGTGTGTGTGTGCGTGCAGTCCAGAAAGAAAAACATACCTTGTTCATTCTACCGGTCTCCTCTCTCTTGGTCTGGCTGATATGATGACCATGTCATTAACTGGACCTGGTTTAATACCTTGTTTCCAAATAAAAACAAGTTTAAATGTTATAACAGAAATATGTATACACATAATAATAGTATCATTAAAAGATTGTAACCTTGGTCCCCGTTTTGTGCCACTGTTGTTCAGTTTCTGTGCAGCTGAACACTGTGTGTGTGTGTGTGTGGGGGGGGGGGGGGGGGGGGGGGACCGATGTAAGTTTCAGCTAGGAGAAATGTGCCGTCTGGTAGAGTTGAGCTGCCACATGACATCACAAGGCTGCACCTGCCACACATACACTGGCACCCCCACCGGCTTTGAATCCCTTAGCACAATCTGTTACAACACAGAATATTTGTTAGAGTACAACTGCATTTAAGGAGAGACAAACATTGATGATTAACTTCACTTAACTCATTTTAAAATAGAAGAGTAGAACAAGTAGTGGACAAAAATAAAATTACTGTAAACAATGTTGTGCTTCTGCGAGTCATCTAATGTTTGACTTTCTGTGACATGCTATTTATACAAACTTTACTTACTATATTCTTTCTGGGACACATTTTATCTCTGATACCACATGACACACGTAGTTCAGGCATGTCATTAACCTGTTATCAAACTAAAAGCAATGATATGACTCGCAAAAATGTGACGTTTAAAAACATGAACAGTCTTCTTTTGAACCTGAATCAATCCTGCACTGAACCTGCAGGGTAACGTTTCCCTACACTCAGACGGTGGGGCTTCTGGTTTTTCCTCATTGACCTGAAACACTCGGACCTAACCGTGACCTCTCCTGACTGCATGATTAAAACTGAGAATAACATAAAAACTGTTTTTTTTAATTTCAGACACGAAAAACACGCATGACCTTACTTATCGCTCCAATAACGTTTCCTTATTGTGTTAACTTAGGCTAGTGGAGAGCTAGCGTGTAGCATCTTTAGTAACTCACAGCAGAAGTTTGTTAGCTTACCTTCATAGCTGTGTATGTAGCCGGGCGCATACAATACAAGCTTTGTACATACTAGATTTTGGCATTTCGGACGAGGCAAGAAAGATTCGGTGTACATCGTTAACCATTATTCTTGGGAGGTCTAGCAGCAAACGCGTACAAATAGCCATTCTGACCACTCAGCGCGAACGAAGTTGTGTGCTGCGCTGCTGCTGCAGTTTGAAAAATACGGAAGTGCAAAAACGGAAGTCCGTGGAGGCCAGCAGAATTTATCTCATTATAATGAGATACTAAGTCATAATTATGAGATAGCTAAGTCATAATTATGAGATACTATCTCATAATAATGAGATGCTATCTCATAATAATGAGATGCTATCTCATAATAATGAGATGCTATCTCATTATTATGATATACTAAGTCATAATAATGAGATACTATCTCATAATAATGAGATACTAAGTCATAATAATGAGATAGTATCTCATTGGTGGAGGAGTTTGAGTGCCCTAATGATCCTAGGATCTATGTTGTCTGGGGCACTTAGTGCCCCTGGTAGGGTCTCCCATGACAAATTGGTCTTAGGTGAAGGGTGAGACAAAGAACGGTTCGAAGGATCTTTCATGGCGGTTAAAATGAAGAGTCGGAGTACCCGGCCCGGAGGGTTACCGGGGTCCCACCCTGGAGCCAGGCCTGGGGTTGGGGCCCGTGAGCGAGCGCCTGGTGGCCGGGCTTTCGCCCATGGGGCCCGGCCGGGCCCAGCCCGAACCGGATACATGGGCTCGTCCAACTGTGGACCCACCACCCGCAGGAGGAACATGAAGGGTCCGGTGCAATGCGAATCGGGTGGCAGACCAAGGCGGGAGCCTTGGCGGTCCAATCCCCGGACAAGAAAACTAGTTTTTGGGACATGGAACGTCACCTCGCTGGCGGGGAAGGAGCCGGAGCTTGTGGCAGAGGTTGAGCGGTACCGGCTAGATATAGTCGGACTCACCTCGACACATTGCATTGGCTCTGGAACCCGAGACCTGGAGAGGGGTTGGACACTCTACTTTGCTGGAGTTGCTCCGGGTGAGAGGCGGAGGGCTGGGGTTGGCTTTTTGTTAGCCCTGAGACTCTCTGCCTGTGTGTTGGGGTTTACCCCGGGGGACAAGAGGGTAGCTTCCTTGCGCCTTCGGGTCGGGGAACGAGTCCTGACTGTTGTTTTTGCTTATGGGCCAAATATCAGTTCAGAGTACCCACCCTTTTTGGAGTCCCTGGGACGAGTGCTAGATAATGCTCCATCAGGGGACTCTATTGTCCTGCTGGGGGACTTCAATGCTCACGTGGGCAATGACAGCTTGACCTGGAGGGGTGTGATTGGGAGGAACGGCCCACCTAATCTGAACTCGAGCGGTGTTTTGTTATTGGACGTCTGTGCAAGCCGCAGTTTGGCCATAACGAACACCATGTTCGAACATAAGGATGCCCACCGGTACACTTGGTACCAGGGCAGCCTAGGTCACAGGTCGATGATAGATTTTGTAGTCGTATCATCTGACCTGCGGCCGTATGTTTTGGACACCCGAGTGAAGAGAGGGGCGGAGCTGTCAACTGATCACCACCTGGTGGTGAGTTGGATCAGATGGCAAGGGAACATGCCGCGTAGACCTGGCAGACCCAAACGCATAGTGAGGGTCTGCTGGGAACGCCTGGCAGAAGAACCTGTCAAGACGGCCTTCAACTCCCACCTCCGGCAGAGCTTTGACCACGTCCCGAGAGCAGTGGGGGACATTGAGTCCGAGTGGGCCTTGTTCCACTCTGCGATTGTCGAGGCGGCTGTTGCTAGCTGTGGTCGTAAGGTGGCCGGTGCCAGTCGTGGTGGCAACCCCCGTACCCGCTGGTGGACACCAGAGGTTCGGGGAGCCGTCAGGCTGAAGAAGGAGGCCTACAGGGCGTGGCTGGTCTGTGGGTCCCCGGAGGCAGCAGACAGGTACCGGATAGCCAAGCGGAGTGCAGCAGTGGCAGTTGCCAAGGCAAAATCTCGGGCGTGGGAGGAGTTTGGTGAGGCCATGGAGAAAGACTATCGATCGGCTCCAAAGAGGTTCTGGCAAACTGTCCGGCGCCTCAGGAGAGGAAGGCAGCAACTAGCTCACACTGTTTACAGTGGGGATGGGGAGCTGCTGACGTCAACTGAGGCTATAGTCGGACGGTGGAAGGAATACTTTGAGGAGCTCCTCAATCCCACCAATGCGCATTCCAAGGAGGAACCAGAGCTGGGAGGCCTGGGGATGGACTGTCCGATCTCGGGGGCAGAAGTTGCTGAGGTAGTAAAACAACTACACAGCGGCGGAGCCCCGGGGGCGGATGAGGTTCGTCCTGGGTATCTCAAGGCTATGGATGTTGTAGGGCTGTCATGGTTGACACGTCTCTACAACATTGCGGTGTCATCGGGGGCAGTTCCTAGGGAGTGGCAGACCGGGGTGGTGGTCCCCATCTTTAAGAGGGGTGACCTGAGGGTGTGTTCCAACTATAGGGGGATCACACTCCTCAGCCTCCCTGGAAAGGTCTACTCCAAGGTACTGGAGAGGAGGGTCCGATCGATAGTTGAATCTCAGATAGAGGAGGAGCAATGTGGTTTTCGTCCTGGCCGTGGAACTGTGGACCAGCTCTATACCCTTGCAAGGGTGATGGAGGGGGCATGGGAGTTTGCCCAACCAATCCACATGTGCTTTGTGGATTTGGAGAAGGCTTATGACCGTGTCCCCAGGGGCACCCTGTGGGGGACGCTCCAGGAGTATGGGGTGGGTGGCTTTCTGTTAAGGGCCATTCAGTCCCTTTACCAGAGGAGCGTGAGTTTGGTCCGCATAGCCGGTAGTAAATCGGACCTGTTCCCAGTGAGGGTTGGACTCCGCCAGGGCTGCCCTTTGTCACCGGTTCTGTTCATCACTTTTATGGACAGAATTTCTAGACGCAGCCGTGGTGTGGAGTGTGTCGAGTTTGGTGGCAGGAGAATCTCGTCTCTGCTTTTTGCGGATGATGTGGTCCTCCTAGCTTCATCCAGCTCTGACCTTCAGCTCTTGCTGGGTAGGTTCGCGGCCGAATGTGAAGCGGCTGGGATGAGGATCAGCACCTCCAAATCTGAGACCATGGTTCTCGACCGGAAAAGGGTGGCTTGCCACCTCCGGGTCGGGGGAGAAGTCCTACCTCAAGTGGAGGAGTTTAAGTATCTCGGGGTCTTGTTCACGAGTGAGGGTAGGAGGGATCGGGAGATCGACAGGCGGATTGGTTCGGCGTCTGCAGTGATGCGGACGCTGAGCCGATCTGTCGTGGGGAAGAGGGAGCTGAGCCAGAAAGCCAGGCTCTCGATTTACCGGTCGATCTACGTCCCAATCCTCACCTATGGTCATGAGCTTTGGGTAATGACCGAAAGAACGAGATCGCGGATACAAGCGGCCGAAATGAGTTTCCTCCGTAGGGTGGCCGGGCTCAGCCTTAGAGATAGGGTGAGGAGCTTGGATATTCGGGAGGGACTCGGAGTAGAACCGCTGCTCCTCCGGATCGAAAGAAGCCAGTTGAGGTGGTTTGGGCATCTGGTCAAGATGCCTCCTGGACGCCTCCCCGGGGAGGTGTTTCGGACATGTCCTGCCCGCAGAAGGCCCCCGGGTCGACCCAGGACATGTTGGAGAGGTTACATCTCCAATCTGGTCCGGGAACGCCTTGGGGTCCTGCCGGAGGAGCTGGTGGACAAGGCCGGGGAGAGGAAAGCCTGGAGCTCCCTAGTTGGGATGCTGCCCCCGCGACCCGGACCCGGATAAGCGGAGGAAGACGACGACGACGACGAAGATACCTATTCCATCTTATTCACATGAAGGCGTCATATTTTAGCTACTCACACACACTTCTATGAGTGCACTAAAGTTTGTCTCATGGAACGTACATGGAGCTGGCTCCAGAGAGAAAAGATTAGATTTTTGATCAGCTAAAGAGAGTGCAAGCAGACGTAATATTATTACAAGAGACTCATAGATCTGCCACATCCGCAGATGAACTTATATCACCTGAGTTTCCCTGCATGTTCTCTGCCTGCTTTAACTCTAGGCAAAGAGGTGTAGCTATTTTAATACACAGAAACATCAATTTCACAGTATTGGACACAGTTTCTGATCCAGAGGGTAGATTTATAATGTTAAAAATATCTATACAGAATCAAAGCTTTTGTATTGTCAGCATATACTGTCCAAATATTGATGACCCTTCATTCTTTCATAATTTTTTCTCTTGTACTCTCCGAACACTTGGGCTGTCCACTTATACTTGGAGGCGATTTTAATTTTTGGATGAATTCTTCAACAGACAGGCTCAGTACAGCTGGGACTCGGCGCAATTGGCAATCCACTAATATAGTTAAACAGTACATGAGTGATTATGGACTTTGTGATGCATGGCGATCTCTTCATCCTAACTGTAGAGAGTATACGTTTTTCTCACACGTCCATCACTCTCATTCAAGTCTGGATTATTTTCTAGTCAGCAGCTCATTGTTGGCTGACATTTCAGACACTGAGATACACCCCATAGTTGTCAGTGACCATGCTCCGGTTTCTTTAACTCTGGTAAACAAGAAGATAATCCCACCAAACAAAAACTGGAGGTTTAATACATCACTGCTTAAAGATGAAGGTTTAATAGAATTTTTTAAAAGGAGTGGGCTCTATATTTAGAACATAATGACCTGCCTGGAACATCAGCATCTGTTCTCTGGGAGGCAGGAAAGGCAGTGATGAGAGGTAAAATAATCTCTTTCTCATCACATAAGAATAAAACAGAAAACAAACGTATTCAGGAGTTAGAAGAAATCATTAAATCTTTAGAGGCATCCACAGAAGAAGAGTTAATGAGCAAATTACGTAAAGCTAAATTAGAACTTCATGGAATTATTGACAAAAACACACAATTTTTAGCACAAAGACTACGAATAGAAAACTTTAAACATAGTAATAAATCAGGTAAATTTTTAGCTAGCCAATTAAAAATTAATAAAGAGAAAACTACCATATCTGCTGTTAAAGACTCAACCGGCAATATAGTTTATGACCCTGAAAGCATAAACAACACTTTCAGAGACTTTTGGGGCGACGGTGGCACAGGAGTTAAGTGCTCGCCCCATAATCGGAAGGTTGCAGGTTCGAGCCCCGCTCAGTCTGTCGCTGTCGTTGTGTCCTTGGGCAAGATACTTAACCCACGTTGCCTTCTGATGGTGGTCAGAGGGACCGGTGGCGCCAGTA